TGTGTGTGTGTGTACGTGTTGGAGGGTGAAATATCGTCCGGGTTAATTTGTGTTAGAGATCGCGGAATTGAAGTTGGCGCAGTGTCCCTTCAATTGGTCCGTGAACATTTCTTTTCCTTCAACGTTAACTCCATCCCCCGTACCCCCATATCAGAGATATCTTCCTTTTATTTCTATCGTATTTTCTACGAGGAATCGTATCGAATTACCAATGACGTAAACAAAAAATTTCCTACCATCGAAAGAAAACGTATAATGGACAATAGAAAAAAGAAAGGCACGAGACAAATTATTATCCATTAAATAATTTTCACAAAATAATACGACGAATCAACTCATTTCTCTTAATATCGAAAACTTGAATATATTAAAATGCTATCTAAGTAACTTGTGCTAAGGTAGAAAATAAAAGATAAAGATGGAAAGATGGAGAAATGGGAGAAGAAGAGAACTGACATCAATGTCAATAATAATTCATTGATTACTTAATTCATAGTTACCATGGAGACTGTCTCTCAGTTTTCCCTTGCTTCCCTTGCTGCTCCGTTTTTCTCGCTTCGATGAAGGAAAATACGTACCTCTTAAGCTGTTTTCACACTAAATCGAATCTACGAAAATCTTGACTTCATAAACATTAACTTCTCTATGATCAAATAATCTAATAAACAAAATTATTAAAAATATTAAAACATTTAACAATCAATAATCAAGTAAGCATTAAGTAAACCAATCTTTAAAAAGTAAAACAAACAAAATCCTTAGAAAAAAATCTTACACTCTTATCAAATCGAATGGTCATAATTAAAATGGTAAAAAAAATACAAGAAAATTAACAAAATTAACAAAACAGACACGATAAATTATTATAATTTCTAATACAACGAATAATCTGAAATAATTCCAACGATAAATAAAATAAAACTAAACAAACAAAACAAAGAGATTAAAGAATGAGTGGAGGGATGTAAAGAAGGGGTAAGTTAAAATGTTAAATCCATACGAAGAGGTTGCTGGTGGGTGGAGGGTAGTAAAGGGGGTCGGGGGGTTAGCAGCTAGCAAACAATCACAAGATACCTTCTCGAATCTGTTATGGCACGCGTTGTGAGTGTCGCATTAGCTTTGCTTACGGGTTCGCAAGCAGGCAAGGAGAAACACGAAATGAATATTCAGAAGTTATTAGTCTGTAGTGAAATGTGACGGGGCTCACCCTTCTCGAAAACCACCCTGCCCTCCGCATCGGCATCGAGTCTCTTCCTCGGATTCAACCCCTCGCTACCACCCCCTGCCAAACCCCCTATCCACCCTCCTCTCCTTTCGTATAGATTTCGAGATACATCCTGGCGGAAACACTCGCAAACGAAGGAACGAAGGAACGAACGAACGAAGGAACGATGGAACGAACGGAGGAACGTGAAATACGCCCTGCCACTACTACCGGTCGAAGAAGGGGTTGAAGTCTCGATAAAACCTCCGGAGAAGACGTCGGAGGGTAGTTGGAAATCGTGAGAGCTGAAGAAGGGTGGTGGAGGAGGAAGGGGGAGGGAGGATGGCAAGGGGGTGGATAGGAAAGATCGAGCTGGGAAGTTTCGGAAGTGAGCCACGAGGAAAGAGCTTTATGCATAAGCTAAGAAGCGCTATTGACGGAGTAAAGCGTGAGGAGGGTAAATGGGGGTGAGTTTAAGGGGTGAGGGAAAGAGAGATGCCTGTACTTCGACTTTGGCAACACGTGTGATAAATAAGATCGAAATGATGCCTTAGTTGCATTACCTAAACAAACATTGATGTCTCTTATCCTTATTCAAATAATAATTATATATTTTAGTGTATGCTGCAAAAAAGAATATTTATGAACGTTTGTTTATTAGGTTTTCAATTTTGTATACTTTGATTATTTCTCTTTTTATATTTATTTGAATACTTTTTATGGGAATGATGGAATAAGGGTGGGAATAAATATTGAAAGATAATTCAAAGATATTTTATTCTCTCGTTATCGTAAATTTCATTGAAAGTTAGGTCATCCAACTATCTTCTTATTCGTCGAGGGTGTCACTAATTTCCATAGAAATATTATATTTCTATGAGTTATATTAATCTTGACATAGAATATTCTTTCCATTCGATCTCAATGAGAGAGATATTGAATTTGAATGAATATTAAATGAAAGGATATTATCGTTGTACTTTATTATATTTTGTTGGATGAAAATAAAAAAGAATTGTTTGTTTAATCATATTTTTTTATGAAAAAAGTTTATAGAAATAAAGAAAAGAAAAAGAATCCAAAGATGAATGCAAGGGTTTAGATTATTTGCTTTTCTTCATACCGAGATGCATTCGAGATTAGACCGAAAAAATGATAAAAAAAAAAAGAAAATAAGGTATGGGCGGGGAGGGGAAAGAAGGAGGAGGAGGAGGAGGAGGTAAAAAAGTAGAAAATAAATAAATAAAAGAAGAAGATACGCTGATATAAGTTTCGCGTCGTCCTCTTTGGTTGGTTTAATAAAAACTTATGGCAATTTTGTTCGAGCATGAAAAGGCCGTCGAACGTCCCACGAGACTTTTCGACACCCAGTACATCACACAGTATTCTTTCCACCCCCTTCTACTACTACCATCTACTTATATTACGTATACAATATCTGTGTATCGAAGTCGGTTGATCCTGCTTCGTTCTTTTTTTTTCCCTTGGCACGAGGCCCATACATCATACTTTCCTTCTTTATTAAACTCATATTTTTCAAAAAGAAAGGAAGAAAAAAAAAGAAATAACACTCTCACCTATTCTATCTCGCACCAACAAACGCCACCACCTTTCTACATTCTCCACCTTCACATTCTTCTTCTTCTTCTTCTTCTTCTTCTTCATTTCGTTTTGTATGATGAACAAAATAATTCACATTTGATTAAATCGATCAAAGTATTTTTGGATATCATTTATTATCGAAGTTTCATTAGATTTTCGTTAAAAAAACACAATTAAGTTCTATTAATAATAATTTTTTAACGTTAAATATACAATTAGTTTCTTACATGTTACTTTAACTTAATCAAAAAATAAGCATCAGGATAGAAAACTGAAATATCTAACATTACTCTATTAATTTAATAGAAGTATTCTGGTTATAATGATCGAGATAAGGGGTGGTGTTGGTTGGGAGGGTGTTAGGAAGGGGTTGGATGAAAGAGAAAATTTTGCTGAACGAGTTCAACGTCTCGTTGCGTCTCAAGAAGTTTGGCCACTTTCCTTCGATGCGAGCTGTGGGAAAGATTGGCTATTTTGCTGGATATAAAGGAAAGAAGAAGGCAACCACCCTTCGACAGTTTCCCTTCTCACTTCCAACCCCACCCTCACCTTTCCTAACTCCTCTTACTTCTTTTTTTCTTCGTCGAACCGACAGAGTACGAGCTACTTTCTCGTGCCGAAACCGCGGCCTGGTTATAAAGCATTCTTCCAGTTTATTAGACGAAGACTCGCGGGCTTCTCTCCTTTATATTAAGCATGTGCATTATTAATGCACGGGTATAACCGTAAAATGCTGATGAAAAAAAGTTAGCAGGTCCGCCGCGGGCACTTTTCCCTTTTTTCTTCTTCTTTTTTTTTTCGTGACGAAGTGAATGAGAGAGAAGGAGAGAAACAGGAAAGGAAAGGAAAGAAAAAAAAAAGGTGGTTCCTTAGAGATTACTACTACCACTACTACTATTACTATGTTTTTTTTTTTACGATTTTGACTGAAGTTTTGTCTCACGACATGTTCGATATCTTTTAATACGCGTAGAGTTAATAAATAGTTTTCGTAAGTAAATATAATTTATTTGAATTGAATAAATTTGATTTAATATTCTAATGAATCTCGATTGAAAAATATTTAGAAAATATATTCGTGTAGATTGTAGTATACTTTAATTTATCTTTTGATATTATAATAGAGATATTAATTAATATTAAAAATTTAAGCTCAGTATCGTTAATTAAATTAAGTATCACATATACACAATAATCAAATAATTAAGAAAACAATATAATTATCTATAAGAAATATAAAATATTAATAAAATATAATACGACGAACGAGGATTAATTAAACGAACAATAATAAAAGGATAAAAGTATTCGTTCATTCAGAGTGTCCCGATCAAATATCATTAAGAACAATACTTAAAAACATTCGAATAAGACCCTTATCTCCGAGTTATTACCCTAATAACATTTTTCTTCGTACATTTGCCCCTAACTAAACCGAACCACCCACTTACCCCCCTCTCGTCACCCGTGGTATACTTCTTTTACCATCACAACACAGATACCTTTGGTTATGCACCACCAACTTGACTGGGGTAATAGGGGTGGAGAAGTTTGGTATGGGATCTTGCATTGAATATTTCATCCGAAAGATCTACTCTCTCCTTTTTTTCACCCCCCCCCCCCATCTTCATCTCATCTTCTTCTTCTTCTTCTTCTTCTGGTGCTTTTTTTCCGAGTGATTGTCATTGGAAGAGTCGACGGGAAGGTATTCGGACTTTCGTTAGGTACGACTACGGGAAAAAAGAAAATCAATTATTCATCCGAATTGGCCGGGAAAAAAGTCCTAATTATCCGGGGCAAATACAAGCTTACTACGCATAAGTGTGCGCCGAGATACCCCCCTTCACCCTCCTCCCATCGTTCATCTTCTATCTTACTCTGTCTGTCTGTCCGTCAGTCAGTCAGTCAGTCTGTCTATCTATCTGTCTCACATTCACTCGTTCATTTTATTTTACTTTTTCTTTCTTCTTCCCGTTTCGTTTCTTTTCCTTTTTCTTTTTTCTTTTTCCCTAAGTTCAGTAGCCAAGCACACCGATCTTCTCGCGCAGCGACCTTACTTCATCTTACTACCGTGAATAACCATTTGTATTTCCAATTAGCTTTGCTAATAAGAAGACGGAGGCATTGCCGTAGTTAAAAAAAAATGTATAACCTCATCCAGCCACTGGGGAAATAAAGAAAAGCGGTGCTCGGTATGACAATACCGACTGCTACTGCTTCTGCTTCTGCTCCTATTGCTGGTACTGGTACTGGTACTGGTTACTGGTACTGGTGCTACTACGGTTGCTGCTAAGGCACGAGCAAAAGCTTATACCGAGTGAACTACAATTAAAAATCCTCGCTTGAACCCTCTCTTTAACCCCATACCTCTTCTTCTTATGCCGTATTAACGACCAAATGAAAAAAAAAAAAAATATAAGGCAGGGGAAAAAATGGTGGGTAAGAGACCGAACTTCCCGTACCCCCCCAAAAATCCCAAAGACCACACCCAAACCAATTCTTTAATATTATACTTTATCTTCAACCATTCTACTGTTTTGGAACATATACATTAATTAGACTTTTTGATATATTTTTATATGTTTGACATTGTCTCATTAATTTCTTTAATTTCTTTTTATTTATTGATTTGTGTATGGTGTTCTAATAATTATGAGATACTTTGGTATTTAAGTGAAATTATATTAACATTTATTTTGTTCTCACAAAGGGAAATCAAATCTGTTAATAATTATGATGAGAAAGAAAAGAAAATATACAAAGGAAAAATTCTTAAAACTAAAACAGCAATTATTAAAAAAATAATTAATCAATAGAGTAGTAAAGTTTTAATATAATTGCATTTATTTATATCTCATTGCAACATGTATTAAATTTAAATCAAAGTAGTATTGAAAAAATTTTATAACATTTTTTTTTGTTAAAGTAAAGATAATAGTAATATTATGTCTGATTTAATATTCTAATAAACACACTGTATATTCTTCATTATGTACACATACAAACATATATACATATATGTACATATAACTTACTTATATATAGCATAGTATATATATATATTGTGTAGACAAAACAGGAACGTGTATACTTGTATACGAGAGCGTTACAGAAAAAGTAAATAATCTCTTTGATAAATAACCTCGTATCAATAAGGATATTGAATTCGGAAAGATCTTTGTTGTCATTTCAAGCAAAGGACGGCATAAGTCAGGTATGGAATGTCAGTTGATCTTCGTCAGTCGTGTCGATGGGTCTTCTTATATTTCCCATCATATTTATCTCGAATAATAACACTTTACATAATGATTACATTATTACCAATTAATTATTAAATATTATATTATATTTATTTTGCGTTTAAAATATTCATTAAATAATAGTGCATCGAATAAATAAATATATATATATATATATATATATTCATATAAGTGTG